ATATATTAAAAGTATTATTATAATACTTTAAACATATTTTTGTAATTCTGTTAAGTCACTATTAACACGATTAATACCATATATTTATAATAAAAATATAATGTAAGTATAATCTAATCTTATCTTGTAATTATCTAATAGCAATCTAATAGCAATCTAATAATATAATATTTTAATAATATTTTAATAGTATAATAGCAATCTGTTTAAAATAATTAAATAATGTTACTAATATCTTAACACTTAACAATATGATAAAAATATTGCTAATAGTAACTTAACAGATTAAAAATATTTTTATCATATTTTTATCATATAATAGGTATATAACTATCATATGATAATCATAAATGGCAAAAATTCAAGTTTCTGCTAAGTAGGTGGGTTCATTATTTCAACATAGATGGATTCACGGTTTGAATAGTGAATAGGTTGACAATTTATGGGTTTGGTCGACCAAACCCATAAACAGCAAGTGGATCTAGGAATTTAGTAGTGTAAGTTCGTGATTTAGCAGGTATTAGATTTTGGGGCCGTAAGCTATTCTTTCGTGATTTCATCACTCTGTTCCTAGTATCGTTCTTATATTGGCACTTTTCTATAATTACAAAATTACTTATAATTTTATGCAATATAGGGTAATTATAAGTATAATTGTTTAATGATTTTATATTTGACAAAAGATTTCAAATAAAAGTGCTAATATTGTATGCATCCGGAAATGTTGACATTAGACGTGGGTACGAATATCGGTATCTTCCGTCTTAACCACATACTGATCTCTCGTATATTATTCAATATATATCTATTTAAAATTAAAGCTTTATAAGCTTTCTATGATTCTTTATATATTTATATAGTGGTACTATATTTTTCTATGAAATTTACATTTTAAAAGAATTTTAACTTTGGATAATTGATTCATCATTCATCTACCTCTACAAAATCTTCTCTTAATTTCATTATTAACTCTTTAATATCACCTATCTCAATTTCCACTTGCTTATTTTTAGAAAAATTATCATATTCGACTTTAATTACTTTCAAAATCGCTGGCGATAAATAAAGTTTCTCAAAACCATTCCATTTATCATTTTGAATTATTCGTACTAGGCTTCGAAGTTTGCTTACATGAACTGTGTAAAAACTATAAAATATATTATATATTATCAGAAAATAATAAGTAAATAAATAAATAAAAAATCAAAAGAATAAGCATTTGAATCACAACAGAATTTAAAAAATTTGTATTATTTACATGATCTCTGGAAACCAATTTTTTTTTCTTCTTTGATAAGGTAACATATAAAACATCTCAATTTCAGCCAAAACCTACAATTAATTAACATAAGTGAATGATAACAAATATAATACATACAATATACATATGGATGATGCCAAAGGAAAACTAGACTTCGATCATATAAATTTTATATGATCGAAGCCTAGTTTTCCTTTGCCGTCACCCATATAATATAATAAGCTAAAAAGAAAAAAAAAATACCTTGGCTTTATGAATCAGAAATGATTCTTCATAATTTGTTTCATTAATCGATTTACTAAGAATTCCAATAAATAAATTTAATAAATAAATTATAGTAAAGAATGAGAATGCGACCATCAGAATGGTCAGAATAGGATTATCATGTAGAACCCATGGTGATAGTGAAGCGATGTCGATGTCACCTGTTATATAAAACAACAAAATTTGGATATTAGAATTCAAAGAACTTTTTAAACAATCTAAGGCCACACAAAATTAATTCCTTGATTTTTATAATCCGGGTCGGTCAACATTTGATATTTTACGGCTTTGTCAATGAATGAATCGATAAGTTTTTGGTTTCGGTCGACATTGTTTTCCTCGACTCGGTAACTTATTGATTCAGTCATTGGAAATTTTTCGCTGACCAAAATTTAATGTTATGAAGACCAAGAAATCAATTTTATGTATATCGATATAGACTAAAATTTTTAAAAAGTTACCAATGAGCATAACATAAGTTGCCAAAATTGCGTCTCCAAATGTAGAAAAAATATTGTTACTATCAGCATTAATCGACTGATCATTCTCTTCAACCCCACCTACCCCACTAACATTATAACTCGTACCATCAGACGACATATCTGAACTAGGTCTCAATAATAAATGAAATGAATGCGCAAAAGCCAATATAATAAAACCTATGATTATCAAAAAAACAAAAGTACGTTTTGCCACACTAATTATCAAGGCAAGGTAAATGCCGATGGGTTCAATGGTACGAAAAAACAAGATAAATTTTAATTCAAGTAATAAACTAGAAGTAACTAACAACCAAGTGGAAACAGATCCATTTTGAAGCCAGAGATTTGACGTTATTACCGGAAATAAAACGACACAAAGATCTAATTAAATTAAATTAAATTAAATTAATATCATTCATTGAATTAAATTGAATAAACAGTTACTGTAATGACAATTACCAAATAAATTCCGCAAATTGGTAACATAACTCAAAGGAGAATAAATAAATTTTCTAAATTCAATTATAAGACAACAAACCCCAAATATAAAAGTCACTTGTAACATCGACGTTAGAGACTTCGCGTGTGGCGTAGTAGCAGCCACCGCAAAACAGCCCAAAAGTATAGCATAAAATAACCAAATAGCCATATAATATTTCCTACCATAAGTATTCCATTTAAAATTAAGTAATGCTTCACCATTCCAATATTTGTATAATTCTCCATCGATCGATCTTACGAAATTACTTGGAAGAGGTTTCCATAATTCTTTCCATGTATTATAGCTCTCAGGGTATGATACAAATTTTGGTAAAGGAAGTAATAATTTAATAGTGATATTATTTTCAGAATTATAATAATCATACCAATTTTGATATGGAATTATGATAAAAGTTTCGATAAAAGAATATATTGAAAATTTTTGATTATCTTGAAAGCGATTTTTATACTGAATATATTGAAAATGTTTCCAACGTTCATGAATTCTCGAAATAAAAATATTAATAAGTGAAGTTTTTGATAAATAGTTATAAGTTCCATGATGATAAAGATGTGAAGAATGAAATATGGAAGGTTTCTCTCTAACCTTTGATGATTGATCGATAAAAGGAATCACGAAAGCAGTTCGTGATAGAAAACCAGCTAGATAATTCGGATGTTTTTGTATTAACTCGGGAAATATTTGTACAATTATGCTAAGTGATTGAATATTTGAAGTTGATATATCATTGCTATCATCATTTGATTTAAAATTAAATTCAAAACAACTTTCACACAGTTTTTCTATCATTAAATCAGCATCCATTTTTATGAATGATTTCATAATAATACTTCCATAAAATATTATAGAAAATTTATTGGTAATATAATCTTCAATAAATTCTCTAAAAAAGTAACTCACATCTTGGCTTCCTTCAGGGCCAAACGTTAGCTCCTTAAATTTAATAATAATATCAAACTCTGATGGTGGAAGAATTCTTTTTACAAATGGATCACTATAGTATAATTTTGTGTAAGTCAATTCTTGATAATAAAGATCCTCATTTCCCCAATAATATAATAATCTGATTCCTTTGTCAGGTATTACAGTCCAGATAAGTACACCAAAAGTTGTGATCATGAATAAATCATCATCTTCAAGTATCCTGCATTGAATAATGTACTGTGGTCTATCTTGAATTTCAGAATGAAAATTAGGAAATATATTACGTTGAGATTTTCCTTGCACCAGTTGCCATTCATTTCCTTCATGATTAAAATGAAATGCCTTGAGTATAAACAACTTTTGAACCCGACAATCTAATTCCCATTTTAATAAGCGACCATTATACGTTTCTTCTTGTTCAATACGGTCAATATCGTTTCTGCTGAGACCATAATTTTCAATATTCGTTGCTTTTTTAATCATTTCATGCATTACTTTTCTATCAGATAATGTAAATAATCTATTATAATCATTAAGTTGTTGTCGTAAATAATCAATCCATTTATCACGAATAAATCTCCTATAAATTGATATGGTACCATCAATCAAGCCAATTAATTGACTAAATTTTATGGTATAAGGGTTTTGAATCAAGGCACCAATTTCAAATAAATTTTCGGCATTAACGGGATTTTTAAGAGTATATGGATCAAATAAATCCATCTTAACATTATTTTCTGTATCATGTGATATGACAAGTAAACGTTCACCAATTTCGTGAGCTATAAAGTATATTTTATCTATTGAAATCGAAGCATCATAATCATCTATAAAATAAATAAAATAAATATTTGTTATGTGGAATTTTATTTTTTTCAAAATCATAATTCTGTAATTGAAAAAATTTTTACGTACAAGTGGCCAAATTCATTCCGTTCATTGTGGAATAAATATAAATCCTTGATGTTCCAGGATTATCATCCTCGGTATAAGTTTTCGCGCAAATACCTAATAACTCTTCATCCTCAGTAACTTCAACAAGAACAGGTACATAATTCCAATCAATTGGACAATTTGTTTTAAGTTCCATAGTTTTGATAAACCAATTTGTAAGTTGAAAAGTTTTATCGTTAAATAAAATCAAATTTCCTTGTATAGTTATGAAAGAGTCGCTAAAGTAAGACAGCTCAAGCATTGATGTAAGATTCCATTCGATATTTGAATCAGGAGGAGCTGTCGGTGTGAATACGTAAGCCCTATACGAAGGAAAACTTGAAACCACTACAAAGTCACCTTTTATAGTGAATTCAGATCGATCAATGATATTTCGTGTGTTTGGAAATCCAAGTGGTGGTTTTTGTTTAGTCATGACTTCAAACATTTCTGTTATAAAACGAAAGTGACTGTTAGTTAAGTGATTATTAATTTATTCTTAAAAATTCACATGTTTACCAAAATTAAGATGATAAGAATTGGTCTTTATAACAACATGCATATTATCAGATACGGCAGATAATGTATTGGGTTCGGTAATGCTCGTTCTTAAAATTTCATTTTCGTATTTTAAATGTTGTTGTCCAGTGATTATCGACCACAAAACGGCAGATTTATCATCGTTACTCCATGTGCCCACATATTTCATTCCAGGAGAGCATATTATCTTGGAAATTGGTCTACCATTATGTGGCCTTTCAATTGAGAGACTACGGCTGTGACGGCTGTGACGGCTAGATGGAACTTGGACTATTGTGTGTTCATATTGGGATTGTAGTTGGGATGTAGGTTTTGGTTTAGTCGTTGAAGATGTGGATGGTTCCATAGTCTTCGTTTATAATTATTCAAAGATTTTTTTAAACTTGAAATTAATTTTCGTAATAA